GTTGTCGTCCTCCATGTATGCCTGGCTGCCTTATTACTGGTTGCCTGGCGATTTGAAGGAGCGTCGGCACCGGCTTGTCATCACCTCCCTGCTCCCCGGTTGTGACTCAGATCTTATGACTTAGACAGTATGACTTGGCACTTAGCCATCACTCCTATTAGACTCTCCCTGCCGGCCCCTGGAGGATGGGCTCCCCCTTTGAGTCTGGTCCCTCCCAAGGTTTCTTCCTTCTAGGGAGTTTTTCCTTGCCAGTGTCGCCTATGGCTTATTCACTGGGGGCTTTGGGTGGGGATGCTGTAAAGCGCATTGAGACAATGTAATGTTGTGTTAACACACTATACAAAAATAAATTTGTTGTAGTTTGAACGGTTTACGTATTGGAGACAATAGTTTACGTCCTCATAGTCATCCTCAAATCCTTTCTAATGGCTCAGGGTTGGGCTAGCAGTATTATGTATGTCACTGAATTAGAAATCAGCTGTTGTGTGTGTGTGTGTGTGTGTGTGTGTGTGTGTGTGTGTGGTGGGGTTTTAGGGTGTAGGGTCATTGTCTGAACAGGAGGCCTCCCTGCGTATTAGGCTAACTGCTCAGATGCTGGGATGAACAGGCATCTGGCTTTTCCATTTCACGCTGCTTTCAAGAGGCCGGCTGTTCCACGCATTTCCATGGAGACCGAGGAAGTTCTGCTCCATCGTAAGTCTGCCAGAGCCCTCGCCTTTTGAAGTGCGAGCTAAGTGCAGGAAAGTTTCTCGCAGGATGATGCCCCCGGCTGCTGTAGGGGCTGGTGGAGAGGTGTAGGGGGACATGTGGGTGCCAAGCGCATTCTGACCAATGCAGGTTTGCCCGCTGTTTCCAAAGTTTTGTTACTCTCCCCTGATTGTGCATTTTGCTGGATTTGCATATTTCAAGGTCTGCAAGCTCTTTTCTTTCCTTGGAAGTTAATTAAAATGGAGTTGATTGCATTTATGAGTTTTGGAGTTGATTTTTGACATTTCTTTTCAAGTGGGAAATCCCCTGTTCAGTGTGGAATTTCCTGTGTGTTTTTTCTTCTTCTTTTTCATGCCAGTGGTGGTAGAAAGGTGTAAATTAAATCTGATATACACAGTCTAAGCTTATTATGGTTATGGACAGGGCTGCATTAAACCTCATTTAGATGGAAATATCGCTCTCCTCTGGAAAAATAGGCCTTTGGATTGCAGTAAAAGCGTTTTTTTTTTTTTTTGTTGTTCAAGATCGTGTGTTCGGTACCTATTGTTGGACATTGAATAGCTCATTTGATACACTTTGGCTATTCTAACGTTATGTGTTGGAATGAGAGAAAAAAAAATGGCTTGCTAGCTATCATTTGAACTTTCAGCATAATGATATTTTATGTTTTGTTGCTTCAACATGATCATATGAAGTCCAGTACACAACTCATATTTGGCATTTGTATCTGCACGCAAAATGAACTGGATGCACAATCGTTGCACAGCATCAAATGTACATTCAGTCACGTACATTGCATCATACTATTGATTAACAGCACAAAGCTAAGTGAAAATAATTTTTATAAAAACACCTTAGCTCAGAAGACAATGTAGTGTTGCCTCATATATCTGTTGAATTATTTTTGTTCTTATACTACTATTTATGTATATTTCATGTACGGAAAACTTGCTTTTGATTCAGTTTTACAGTATTGCTGTGTTGTTATCAATGTCACCTGTTGACATCGCCGTAATCTTCATGAGTGCTCGGTCCAACTAATGCCTTTTTAAAATGTCATGATGTTCCATTAAGCGGTAAATCTTTTCCTATTAAATAATAATTTCTTTAAAGGGGGAAGGGGGTGTTGTACTTTCTGCAATGTTGATGAATCACAAAAATCTCCACCATGGAAGATGAATAAAGTTTCACCTCGTTTTGTGAGATACGTGATGATTACGCCACTCCTGGCATTTCGACCATTTCAGTAAAGCGCCGCGTCTGGCCCCCTCTCCCCTCGGACCACTGAGTCTCCCATTAAACTGTTACATTACACCCGTTTGTCTAAAGGGCGATAAGCCGGTAAGATGTTCTATGTATCAGGTATATATTTGTCAATGCTTATTACTTTGCAGGGTGTTTCACGTCCATTGACGGTACACTGGAGTGACAGCCCGGATCTCAAGTTTCTTGGGCGGCTATCAGTCTGAATCACAGGGACGCTGGGAATCCGGGAAGCTCATGCACAGTGCAAACTGTCACTTTTGCTATGTAGCAACAAATGTTCTTGTTTTATTATCCTCTTTTTACGTGTATAATTATAAAAATGCCTCTGGATCAGTTTGTGCCATTTAGAGTGCAATTCATTTTCGTCGTCTTTTTTTTTTTTTTTTTTTTGATTCTGTATTTAATTCTCGATGATGGGCATTGCCCCCTAGCAATTGAAATTCTAATAATTTTGTAGACACCTGCACAGCCTTTCCAGGAAGTGAACCCAATTTGTTCATGAAGTCGTCACTTATCTGTGACCTGATCCAACACCAATTTTGCTTCAAACCGCTACGCGACAGTCATACATATTAAGGCTGCTTTGTACTTTCCTAATCCGCCTAATATATTGCCTTGTGAGGAACATTAATGTTCCATTAAATACCACACATTACTCACTCACTGCTCTGGTACTGAGAAATGCATGGATAGGTACCGGTTAAACTCAAGTAGGACTCATGCCATAGGTGTAAATTATGGGGGATTGGGGAGCTTGTAACCCCCCCTCCCAATAATCAAAACTAGCCGATACAATCCCCTGGATCCCCTTAAATGTGTGGAGACCCCAAAAGCCCCCCCCCCAAAGCTCACCCCAAAGTTCACCCCAAAGTTATGCCCTTCGCTCATGCTTTTACTGGGAGAATTTGTTTATCCAGGCCTGGTTGTATTTGAGCATTCTGTAAATTCCAGCAGCTGCAATATAATAGAAATAAAATAGAAACAGATATCTGTGTTATGGCTTGTTTTATAAAAGTCCTTTACATATTGTTAACCATGTTCCAGTTCTTGGGGAAAGTGAGGAAAAATACTTTTTTTTTTAATCAGTGTTTAAAAATATTGCTTCAGCATTTCTTTTTAAAATTCAATATAAAATTCCAGGCAATCTAACTGAGAAAAAAGGTTGTTCTATTAGGAGATGTGCTACTTGGTGCAGGATAGTTATATAAAGGAGTGCCTAAAATTGTATATTTAAAAAAAAATAGATTATCATAAATATGGTTTAATTTCTTTTCTTATCTGTGGTTGCTTACATCTCTCAGGTATAAAGACATAGTGAGTACCAGCACTGCATTACCGGCAGTGGAATCCAAATGTCAATTTTAAAAAGGCATTATCCCATTATTGCATCATCAAGGAACTATCGTTAAGTACAAATATAGGTCCTTAGAGATGCAGTGCTCAGCTGTATGATTATGAAACTGGCTATCCATCACTATGGGAGTATTACTTCTGGGGGATAATGCAAGGTTCTCTTTCATTATGAGATGGTGCTGAGTTATTTTGCAGGTTCCTTTGAACGCTGGTTCCAGCAGTTTTGCAGAATGCTATTCTGCTGTCTCGGGAGGGGAGTTTGGGGCTCCAGAGTGCTCTTAGGATACTGTGCTAAAGAGTCTCCCTGGTGCAATGGGCCTGGCATACTGCATCACTGCTGTCATGCTCCATTCATTGCTAGGCGCAGTGCATTAAGAGATAAGAATATAAAACTCTGCTTTAAAAAAATATGAAAAATACTAACTGTACTCGTTATTTAGCTAAAATTGGTCTTTAGATGGTAACTAAAATGTTTTCATTAATCTTTTAAAGCGGTTCTTTTGTTGGAGAGGAGCCCAGAAATTTACCCCTCCTATAAGCCCTTTGATGCACCTCTTTGAAAATCATGGTAGAAGTAGCTTTTAATACTGGACAAGAACGACTTGAATAGGCACCACCCCAGGGTATCTGTCTTAGCAGCCTGTGTTTCTTCTGCTGGCTCTCGTGAGGCTGAGAACTGAGCAATGGCACATTGTCGATAACAATGGGTCAGGAACGCCGCTGTAAATATGAACTTTACTCCATCGCCGCTGGTTTTACGATACTTTGATCAACATGAAGCGGTGAGCAAAAGTGACAGAGGGAGGCCTTTTTCCTAAGGGCATGATTTAATTGAGGAAAAACAATGCATGTTTGCCCCCCCCCACAAGCCACTCTGTCGGGGCATGTGCTGCCTGACTGAAGGACTCTCTCCTTCAGTGCCCTCTGTGCCAAGCTGAGGCTGCATTTTATCAGGTTGTGGCATGAGTGAAAGCATAGAAGTCCATTCCAGGTAAGACATCACGGCCCTTAATCTCTCCACACAATGTGGTCTAGAGCCGAACAATATACAAATATGGTGCCAAGGCTAGTGTTCCAGCACGTGTACTTAGAGCTCCCCCTTTATCCTCCCAGAGCCTAGGTGCAGCTCGGCACTTTGTGTGTGTGTTTTGTACAGATATAACGGCTGGAGGTATCAGTGCTGCACCTGTGCACATCATTCCTGTGTTTTCCACTCCCTCCCACCTTATTAGCTCACCGATGCGCCTAATGTATTAATTAAGCCTGATAACTGTAAATATTGTCACTCTCAGGGATGCCTGGTGTAAGCATGTTTTGATCCTATGTGTGGTTCGGGAGGTTAGAATTGCTGTGCCTGTGATTGGAAGGTTGTTGGATTGAATCCTGTGGTTGGCAGATTTCACTGTTGTGCCCCTGAGCAAGGCCCTTAACCCCCAATTGCTCCAGAGACGGTCTGACCCAGCCTTATCAATTGTATGTTGCTTGTGCATGTAAAAAATGTAAATGTGAATATTCTCGTATATGGCCATCGTAAAAGGTTACGTCATTTTAATTCCCGAGAAGGTGAAACGCGTCAATGTCAAAATCACGTCTGTCGTGTGAGACAATGAGTATTTGTTTTCACTGTTGCAGACTAATGTTCAGGCCCTTGCTTCTCTGTTTCTGTCATGCAGATATCCAGGAGTTCTATGAGGTAACCCTGCTTAACACGCACAAAACCTGTGAGGAGAAGCTGGAGGAGGTCAACTACATGGCGGATAAGTGGGAGCGGGCCGCGTCCCCTACCACGGTCCAACAGGACGCTCGCGCCGAAGAGGAGGTGAACTACATGGCGGATAAGTGGGANCGCCGAAGAGGAGGTGAACTACATGGCGGATAAGTGGGAACGGGCCGCGTCCCCTACCACGGTCCAACAGGACGCTCGCGCCGAAGAGGAGGTGAGTGTCCCGGGCTGGGAGGTGGGCAGTGGCTCAGTAGTACATAAGGATCAGTTTGGGGGGTTGGTGCTTTAATTCGCAGGTGGGGTTTTCTGTTATTAGGCATTGGCAGGTATGCGCACCGACTGCAGGGAAAGTGTAAACACCGGCCCAGATTCACATTATCACGGCTCTGTCCAGAAATGTCACATTTAAATATTTTTTTCACAAAAATAAAGGATATTTCTTACTCTTTTTGCCAATCTATGCCTTGTTGTAATTTCTTTCAATATCCACGCTGAAAATATCCCTTGGAATGCAATGATTTTTCAGAACCAAAACAAAACTTGAGGAAAAACGTTTTTCAGGAGATTTGTGGTGAAATCCCTCAGTGAAAGACAGAAACCTGCATTGGAAATGAGTGAGGTTATTCGCGTGGGGGGGGTGGGGGGTGCTATAACCACATCTGAAAATTGACTGTGACTTTAATTTTTTTTTGTCTTTATTTGGTATCAGCATATAACATTCTGGCCTATCAAATTTAACCTGGGCCAATTTTATATTTTTACCTGCTGGTCTCCATAGGTATTTGTGCAGGAATCACTTTGGGAGCAAATTTTAGCTGTATAGTAATCGCAAATCCCTGAAATGTAAAGCTTTGTGTTATAGATCAAAGTGTCTGGCAAGTGAATTTAGCTTCAAGTTTTTGTGTGTTTTTTCTTTCTTTTTTTGTGTTGCGACCAGCAAAATGAAGCTTGTGCCCATTGAATAATTAATGGTGGCTGGTAAGCAGCTTGTGCAGCTGGACTATGTGGAGGAGGCCTGCCAGAAGGCACAGCCGCAAACTGGGATGTGATCCTACAACTTTCAGGCCTACGGGGCCTCAAGCTTTACATCACACTACTTAGTCATGATTTTTGGACTTGTTTGGCATCTTGTTTGTTAGTTTTTCTTCTACTAAAGTTTTAGTAATTTTTTTGTTTAATCACATAGTATTTTAAATGTGTGAAATACTGTGATGTACTAAGATAATGCTTTGACAAACCAGAAGCATGCTAATTGTATAGTGCATGGATTGTGTTAAGAGGCACTAAGGAAATAATTACATCATGTTTATCTAGCAGACTGTTTTATCCAAAACGAGAGGCTTCCGGCTTTTGCTCAAGTATTTAGCAATGACATCACTCTGTCAACTCTCAGATTTGAGCTGGCGACCTTCTGATGACAGGCATGGCCTTCTACCTCGCTGAGCCGCACAGCACCCATGGTGGTTATTGACGTGTAAGATCTGTGTTCCAGAACGGCTGTTGAGCATTGAAATTCAGTAGCTCGACAGGGGCCTAGGATGACATGAGTCCAGTTATCAGCTTTTGCATCAAAAATTTCAGCAAGCAGGGGTAAAAACAGCAAAGCAACGCAATAATGATACCATAGATAGGTTTTTACTGGCCGATTGAGTATCTTGCTTCTGGTAAATTTGCAATAGGCTCATTCTACCAGGGAATATCCACTGATTGATTGGTCTTCACGGGACCAACAGTAATACCTCAGTTGTGACCGGGCTACAGGTAAAGCAGAGCAAAGGGGATATACTGTTTAGTAACACTGGATGCTGCGGCTGAGGCGTGGACATGAATTCAAAGGTCTGGATTCTGAGACAAGACAAAAAGTGTTTCTTAGAGCTGAGGGGCCTTCTGTCGTTTGTGCTCCAAAGCTGCCTGTGTCGTCATGCTAGGAGCCTGATGAAAAATGCCTTCAGCAAAGCAATGCCATGTGTTCTACTGACAGTGTTTGAAATTTGGAAACTTTGATAAAACTCTTTGTAATATTTGTTCAACTCCGTTGTCTGGATGAATTCTTGTTTTCAGGCTGGTGCCAGAAAATTATCTGTTGGTGTATCTGGCTTGAGGGCTGTACTGGTAAATAATTTTTCAAGACTTCGAAGAAAATGATTCCTGAAAGGAAAATGAGCGACAGACGACATATCAAAATGTTGCTGTTCCCGAAATGTTTCTTCCACTAGGGGGAAACGAGTTCTTTTAGAAAACCTATTCTTTGCAGAGGTTTGTGGGGGGGATGTTTGGCTTTGGCTTACACTGACCAAGCCCAGTGAAGGGACTGGTTGGGCACATCAGTTTATAGGCAGCTGTATTTTTGGATTTGCATCTTGTAGTCAAACTCGTTCTCCCTGAATCTGTCTGTTGTAACATCATGAATAGCCCCCTATCATGACGTCATAATGTACGATTATTTCGGGCAGAATTCCAAGTGCCACCAGAAGCTGGTGATCTGTAGTCTGGGCGTGTGTTTGTCAGTCAGGGCTCCAGCGGCTACACTCAGCTCTCATTTCAGTTTCAAGGTTAAAAAGCAAGAAGAGAAGTAAAAAAAAAAAAAAAACAAGTATTAAATGACTACTCGAATATGAGGAGTTTCACTCTATACCTTTGGGGTGCCGGTGCTCATTCAGAGCACTAAAAATAGTAGGGGGAGCCAGCTATGTGACAAAAGTGTAGGACTCACAGGGGATCAGTAGAGATCAGGTGAGTTCATTGGGATGCGAGGCCTGAAACAGGGTAAAAGTGTTCTCCCATTTAGCTCTGCAGACTTTTGACTAATCTACACCCCAGATGAAAACGTTCCATAAGGACCTGTTAATCCGAGCTCAGTGTCTGTCCTCTGTGCCTGGTCGTCTTGTCATGTTGTGTAATGATCGAGTTACCTGTTAGGTGACTGTGTTTTTTTTTTTGTGTGTGGCTGCCCGCTCCAGATTCTTTTTTTAATTTGGCACAGTCTCTGTTTCCATATCTGTGGAAGCTTTTCTGCTTCTCCCATTCCCCCTGCACCCTGACAGCTTGTTTGTGCCCTTGTGTTATACATTGTGCATGAATAATTACTTGTTTGACTCAGCAGCATATAAATTGCTTTGAAAAATTAACTGGAGCGAATGATATGAGAAACGCTCAAGTCGTTTTAGGGAAGGATGATATGTTGTCAGTTCGAGGATCTGAATTTCAGGTCCTGGACGAATTCATGGTTATATCTGAAACAGAATTAAATGAAACCTGCTAAAATCCATTTGTGTTATCTGTTTGACCTAAAGGTCCATGCTTTTGTTTTTCAGGAATATCTGTTAATGTTTCCATGGCACTTGTACCACTTGCACTGTACTATAAATAACAAAAGAATGTATTTCTTTGCGGCAGCGAGAATATCGTGCTGGGATTTATTTATGTTTTTAAGCCCGTGCTACAAAAAATTTCCCCTCTTGGGGGGGATCAGTAAGGGTCTGTCTTGTCTTATTTTCATCTCAGGAAAATCATTTGATGGGGGAAGGGTGGAATAGATCATTTGATTCCTGAAAAACGGCACAGGGGGTGGAGAGTACATGTCTGATGTTTTTGGTGACCCCTGACTGATCTTTCCTGCCTCCATAGCCCAAGGAGCCCAGCAGCAGTGAGCAGAATGGGAAAGTGCCAGGGGGGAGCACCGTCCCTGAGGTGAGTGGCCCCTGACGCCCTACTAATTTAAGGGGCTTGGGGGTGGAGCTTGAGCTATGTGGGGGGGACTTCTTTTATCTGCCTTGTTGAGAATGGAGCAGAGCGGTCGGCCACGCCCCAAATGTTTGACCCGTGAAATTTGCAGCTGTTGCCTTTTTGAGACCTTTTGTTTAGATTTCTTTGATAGCGTATGATGTAATCTGCCGGTCGTTTAATGATTTAATAACAGGCTACAGGTGGTCCCGTCGTCGTCTGGCAGCCCTTGGGTTTTCGTCAAAGGAGCGGTTTGTGTCACGGACACGTCAGGCCGAGCTGGCTCTGGAAAGAATCCCGCTGTTACAGGCCCACTCGGGGGGCGGCGAGGAGGAGGTGCTGCGGTAGCTTAGTGGGTTGGACACTCTGCTGCTTCCTAAACAAGCCCGGAACTGCATCTGCAGTGTCAGCTGACTTCCAGTTGGGTGTTAATTATTAACAACTAATATTTAAATCAGCAAAGGCCTGCCCAAGTTTCCCAGAACAATGTATTTGCAGATGGTGGCTTTTGGAAATTTTGTTTAGTTTATTTGGTGTTATTTTTTTTGCATTAATTATGTTATTAAAAGTATGTACAGGCAGTTAGTAATCTGCTCCACAAACCCATACGCAAGTCAGATTTGACTTAAATTAGATTTACCTTCCCGTACCACCTTAAAAAACACACAAGCCAAAAATATAAAGTACTATGTACCAAAGAACACATATTAGACGAATGAAAAGTCTAAATTTACTTATGTCATCTTTTTTGCATCACTGCCTTTGTAATCTCAATGTATTATGTAATTTCTGCCTTTACTTTGTATTTACGACATATTAAGCATGTGCGGATGCTTCTTGTATAGACGTGACTCATTGAGTGTGCGGCATTTTCATGTTTCATGAAGTTAGAAGTGCTGCATGCTCAGAGCAAAGGTGTCACAAAATGCTCAGTGGGATGGAAACCATCTGCGCGTTACTAGCATGTACTTGTGAACCATGACCTCATCATCAGAATGACGTTATTTGAGCCTGCACCAGACCTTTGGGGCTCAGAGAGAAATGGGACCTACTGGAGATGTCATCATGCTGAATTGAACAGTTGTCCTGCATTTGCGTAATTGAGTCTTCTGTTGTGTTGTTGTGTTGTACCTCTTTACCAAGCTGTGCTGTTTACTATGTAATAGATGCTGCTGATTAGAGTGTAATTTCCTTCTTAATCATTTTGTTGTCCATGGAGCTTGTTTTTTTTTCCTGCTTAATAAAAAAATAAAACTGGGGGCAGTTGACAGTTAAAGTTTTATTAGGGCTCTTGCTGTCAGTGTGGATCTGAGCCTGCAAGCAAGATCTAATAGCATTAGATGTTCTGAAGCAGTGCTAAAGGTCTTGGCGTCAGCCAATCCCCAATGATGCTAAATGCTAACGTACACCAGGGACTCCAGGAATGGCTGATGTGGTCATGGGGACCCTGTTGCTGTTTGTGGCAAATGCAAAGTGTCATTTCGATGATCATGAGTAGGTTGATGGATGATCATGAGTAGGTTGATGGAGGTCAATGATGTAATAGTCCAGTCTGGTGAGGGTGTGTTTGCATTTATTTAGCAGATGCTTTTTATTCCGAAGCAACATGCAGAAGCAGGTCAGCCAGTCACTCGAGCAATTTGGGGTTTTGCTCCAGGGCCCAACGATAGAATTTTTTCCACCAACCACAAGATTTGAACCAACAACCTTTGTCCAAACGTCCAAACCCACAGAATTACACATTATTCCTCAAGAACAAATTTTAAGGTAATTGGACCAAAAGGAAAAAAAGAGAACTGAAAACCAGGAGAGGATATAACATAAGGCCAGAAGACCCGGTGGGGGTTGGTGGGTAGGGGGGGGCGGGTGTGTCATGACTGACGCAGTTGAAGCAGCGAATCGGTCACAAGGACGTCAATATGCCAGACTGATGGCGTAGGCTGAGGATGCGCGTCTCTGTATCTTTGGCCAGGAATCTACCTGTATGCAAGGCAGAGCCTTAGAAAGCAGATACACATGCACACGCTTACCGCCGCATCAAGCCCACGCAGCCCTTCTCTCTCACTCTCCCTTGCCAGTTACTCTCTCTCAACAGGTCACTCATTGTTTTATAAATTTTTTTTATTCCTTTTTAATTTTTGCACCCCTCACAGTACATCACAGTTTTTATTCAATGTTTTTATTTGTTTATTTATTTAATTATTTAGAAAAACATCCACCTTCTAAAGACCCATTTTGCCAACGAGTTTGGGGGACAGTATATTTAATAAACAAACACCCCCCCCCCCCCCCCCCCCTGCATTTTATTACGTAATGTTTTGAACAGAATGCAGTGCTATCGCTAAAGGTCTTTTTAAGGGCCTCGATGGGTGAACGGTCCCCGTGGACCCCTACCCTCTGGGAAGCCGCTTTATATGAAACGCCTCCGCGATGCCCGGATGTCACATCCTTTCCGATAGCTACGCTGGTAGCTGGCTGCCGTGACTTAGCTGTATCCCAGCCGCTGCGGAGCCCTGGCAGGGATCCCGGGGCGTATCAGAAGAAGTGGGCGTTTAAGCAATACCAGCGGCGGGCAGAGCTGTTTTTTTTTTTATCATTAACCTGATGTCTTTGGTGTTTGGTAGCTGATATTCTATGTGTGTGTGTGTGGAGGGGGTTACCATAGATGATGGTCAGTGGAGAGCACAAATCGAGATTTAGGCTCTTCCAGAGGACGCACAGTGAGACTAATGTATCATCTTTCCCTTAGCAACCTTGCTGGGGTATAACCCTGCTGGAGAATTTGATTGCAGGAGTAATTTTCAGAATTAAATGAACCAGATGATCCCTATTAATACACGCTGCTTATTGTTCCCATAGCACATTCTTGCATGTGTCTCGCCTTACTCTTTTAATTAAACCAGCCCTGTTGATATCACAGCTATACGGTGGACAGGCGCGTAGGTGTTTTAACAGGTCGAAGCTTTTTCTGTACTGATTTTGACTGCAAATAAATAAGATGTATGCATTTTATTTTTTGGAAATTAACCAAAAAATTAAGCTGGAGAGAATTTGGAAATTGGACTGGCATTTTGTCAGATTGGTTCACGTTTACACATATTAATCTAACAGATGCTTTTGTCCAAAGCGACATACAAGTGGGGAGCAAAGAGCAGGGTCAGGCAGTCTGGGCAGCAGGCCTAAGGGTCGCAGAGAATCCTAACCCACCTTTGGCACAGAGGCTTGATGGGTAACATGTGCCTTCGTTTGTCCGTGGTTGTGGGTTCTAATCCCACCCTTAAATCTGTGTTTGAACCTTGTGTGCTCTCCGTATGTGTACAGCTTTCCTTTGTATTCTAATTCCTTTGTGCAGTCCTGAAACTTACGGTTATATGGATCTCTGCCATTTGATTGCCTCTCCTGTGCTTGGTTGTGCCCCGTGCTTCCTGGGATTGGCTGCTGGTTCACCGCAGCCCTGTATTGGATAGGCGGTTATGGAGGATGGGAGCATTATGGGACTCTATAACATTTTAAATGACACTTTAATGTCTTCCTGTGACATCTGATTGAGGGGAAGCCGTCTCAGTGCCGAAGGTTACATGAAGGGCGAAGCGCCTGTGCTGATTGGGCTGTCCGGGTTCTCCGTGCCTCTCTTCATGGCTACGTCTGCACTCTCTGTCCGCTCACCAGAATCCTTAATCATCCTCGGACATCTATGATATTGAGAGCAGTCGATGCCGCTACAGAAACTCTGTTTGTATTGCTGACGAGAAAAACCTCGGACCGGGGGAGGGGGGGCGGTGACGTGTCTCCCGGATGAAATCGTAACATGTCGCGAGAGTGCTGTTGTGGAGTAGGGGGGTTCAGTTATAGGCCAACCGATCTAGACGGGGCAGGTAAACCTTCACTGCCTACTAGAGGCATCTGTTGGGATGGGATGGTGTCAGTGACCTCACGGTCCACAGTTTAGTATTTCACAAAGAAAACAGCACCAGTACATTACACATTTACATATTATAGTGACTTTTGGATAGTGTGTGCTGTCCCTTTAATTTTCCTACTCCTTAGATGTACCATTTAAAAGATTGTTTTTTCCCTTTTATGAGTTTGTGGTAATTTGCATCTGTTGTTAAAATTGTCTGCGGTGTGGTTCATACTGAAATATCTCACAAAATTTTTTTTTCCTTTTTTTTTTTTCCTCTTTACCAGATTTACTGCATTTTTAAGCATGATGTGTTGTGCAAGACCCGTTTATTATCCTTCCACAGCTGTATTGATGGCTAGAAAAATAAAAGGATATCATGTAAGTGATGTACAGCTTTCAGGTTTCCTGGATTCGCATATTTGATCATGAGGGTACATATGTATTAGATGGAGCGTTATATAAGCAGAAAGCCGTCTGTCACCGGCTGCCTCGGATGTGCGTTTGATGTGAGGGGGAGATGTCCGTTAACGCAGACGCCCGCACGGGTGAAGGCCCCGCCGTGTATTCTTTGCAAAATGTCGTTGATCAGTCAAGCTTTTGACTTGATTCCGTTTCTAATGGAAGTTGGTGACCTTCTCATGTTTGTGCTGTAGTGGCTTTTCGGAAATGCAATTATTCATCCTCGTCAGGAAGCCAGTTAACAAGCCGGATCTCTCTTCCAATCGTTGGATCACGGTGGATGGGTGGGGGGGGTGGCAGTGGGAGGAAAGAATTGATTAATTATTCATGAGCAGAGTCACATGACTTGACTTTTTTTTTTTAACCCCCATCAATCCCTTTTGTAGCTTCGAAGAAAGCGCCTTTCTGGTGGCTCTGAAAAGGGGATTGGGGGCCTGAGCGAGAAGGCGGGGGGCTTCGGCTCTGGCCCAGCCCGGTTTGTACCGGTCCCAGTTGCCTGGCATATTGCGAAGAGGATATGTATGGCCGTTGTTTGACTGCGATTCCCAGTGCTCCTGTCAGAGCTACAGCTGCCTGGCTGCTGTGCTACGGTGAATAGCCGCCA